TCCACTTATGTTTACCAATAATTTTAATGGCTGGTAGTTTTCATTCTTTTAAAACTCATTCAGGGCTTCAGTTCTGTTTTATTTTTCAGATTTATTCCCAGAAGCATAAGTTTTGGCATATAGTAATTTCTTCTGCAGTAAAGGCTCGTGTGAATTATGACGCTGGTTTCTGTTCTACACACAAAATTAAACCTGCTTATTGAGTTCGTGCCTAAAGTTTCTCTCTATCCTGATGTAATTTCAGAATATTTAAACTCTGAAAATGCAGAATATGCAGTTGTTCTCAAGGAAGTTGCTGGTTGGTATGAGCTCAGGCAATCTGTGATTGTAGCAAAACTGTTTTATGTATTTTATCAAATGCAGGAACTACAGTTTATAAATAGAGTACAGTTGTGTCTATCTATATTCTCCAGTGGTTGAATGTAGTGCATCCAGTGTCTGTCTTTCTATAATATTTATTTATTATAAGTGCATCATATTTAAATATTTCACCAAAGGACAGCCACATGCACACACTGTATAAACATCCGCCCACGAAGGGAAACTGATTGGTTGTGATCATGCATGTGACATTATGTCACTTCAATGTTTCAGAACGAGCTCATTATTCTGAATGGAATATTCAAATGTAACATTGTTACAAATAGACTTTGCTGATTTGAAAGTGTCATGCTACACACGCGCACACACACACACTTCTCCAGATTAAATTACAGTAATTTGACAGTCACGGGCCTAAAGTTCAGTCTCATTTGTGTTGATTTAACGAGTACAGAAAGAGCTTTGTGTGTGTGTGTGTGTGTGTGTGTGTGTGTGTTTTGTCAGTCTGCTGTACAACAACACACTCCATATGCTCAGTATAAACATTTATTAATTTCCAATTAGTTGTCATTGACTTTTATTTTGAAGCACTCTGCTATTTTTACCTGCACATATGCTGTGTTCGACCTGCAAACTTCCCAGAATTCCTCACGGAATTTCCAGCATTCCTCTTGAAGTCTTCCAGTCGCTGCGTGACAATCGTTTACAGAGATGGATGAGTCAAACACAGTAAATCACAGTAAATCAGTAAATCAGCCAAGAGTTTTGTGGCATTTATTGAGTATTAAAGTGATGAGCTTGATATATTAATAACTGTAGTACTTCATATCTCTCTGATGGAATTACTCTTCTAACCCGCAGGCTTTGTGTTTGAGCTGTAATCACAATATGCTAATGCTTTAATGCTTTAATGTGTGAATGAGAGCGATGTGATGGTGTGTTTGCTGAGATCTGCAGTGGAGAGTTACACAACCTCACAGGAAATCAGTCCAGAAAAGCCAGCAGCAAAACAAACCCCACAATCTCATTCTGTCTCCTGACCCTCATATTTCAGAAGAATCAACTGTTTTTCAGCTTTAAGTTCTGCCCAAGTGTGTTTCCTCGCCGCCGATCCGCTTGAGGGATTGAGTTTTCTTGCAGGCGTTCTCACACACACACACACACACACACGCACACACATTCTCACACACACCCATGCACGCACACACACACGCATGCACGCACACTCTCACACACAGTTTTAGTTTTTAAAGTAATTCCAAAGTCATTTTACAACTTTAAAAGTAAAACATTTTTAAAACTTTATAAAATTTATTACAGCAGTTGCTTGCCAAGGTAACATAATTTTCTTTTAGTTAAAGTTTTTAGTTTAGTTTGTCATATATATATATATATAGGCTCTGACAGAAAAGAAGAGCAGGTTTTTTTGCACCCTCAGATTCCAGATTTTCAAATAGTTGTATCTCTGCCAAATATTGTCCTGTCCTAACAAACCATACATCAATGGAAAGCTTATTTATTCATAAATCTCAATTTTAAAAAATTGACCCTTATGACTGGTTTTGTGGTCCAGGGTCACATATATTAAATCTACATAGAAATGTTTAAAAAACTAATACAACTAACTAATGCAAATTGCATAAGTACATAAAAATTACTCTAATTTAAACTAAAAATTTAAATAAAAACATTTTAAATATAAAAATAAAGGCTTGCTGAGATGTTCTGGGAGGTTACTAGAGGTTTCTAAGATGTTCTAGTGGTTGTTATGGAGTTGCTAAGATGTTCTGAGTGGTTGCTAGGGAGTTGCTAAGATGTCCTGGTGGTTGCTAGGGGTTTGCTGAGATGTTGTGGTGGTTGCTAAGGTGTTTTCCTCCTGTCTGGTGTGAAGAGAGTCCTGTGCTCTTCTGCTCTCAGTGGCTTTAGTTCAGCAGGTGAAAATACTGCGTCTGATCACTTAGTAACGAGCAGCAGAGCTCAGATCTGAGGACTCACTGACGTCTGGAGCAGCAGTGCTAGTGATGCTGTAGTGTTCTGTGGTGTCAAACACTAGTGTGAGTCACTGTGCTGTATAATAGCGGCCCTGCGGCTCTCAGGACACAAACCTGTCAGCTGAGATTGAGGACAGAGAGGAAGACGAGGATAGAGAGGAAGAGGAAGAGATAGAGGGGCAGAGAAGAGTCGGAGTCAAGACATCTTTCGTAATTGTACTATTTTTGAAAGCAAGTGCATTTTTGGATGCATGAAATATGGTGGGTTGCTTTCCAAAAATGTGCAGTAGATAGACTGTATTGCACGACCCACAATGCAATGTGCTCGACTTTTATTTCCAGTGTGATGAATCAAACGGAAGTGATTTCATATTACATCTGAAGTATTTTTGAGTCATTCAGTCAGACATTTTTACACAAAATTGGATTGAAATGCAATGTTTTTTTAGAGATAAACATGTAATGTTGTGAGGTCATGTGACAATGTAGCACAATATTGTTTAAAACATTGTATAATGTATCATATTTGAGATACTACTTAATAACGTTAGTATGTGAGTAGATTGTATACAGTATATCATGTACAGTAAGGAGATCTTTACAATTTTTATATTTTAATAAGTTATGTACTCAAAATAATCAACTTTATACACAACAATTCATAGGTTTTTTTAAAGAAATTAATACTTTTATTCAGAAAGGCTGCATTAAATTGATCTAAATTGTCAGTAAATAAATCTATAATGTTACAAAAGATTTCTATTTCAAATAAATGCTGTTCTTTTGAACTTTATATTCATCAAATAATCCCAAACCGACCCTGAACTTCTGAACAGTAGTGGAAGTCTATGATATGTCCTCATTTACATATCTAGGTAAACGTGTGTGTAGTACAGTAAAACACTGCTAAGTTAAATGCAGTGCTTTCTACAGAGCCTGTTACCATGACAACATAATGAATGACCAATCATCATAGAGTTTGGGAAGTGGCCGGTGAGCAGATTCAATGCAGATGTGCTGTAGTCTTCATTTGCATATGCAGAGCTGTAATTGCTCATTAGCATATGCAAGTATCTGCTGTAGTGAGTTTAATGCTGCAGATTGGCACAAAACAACCTTTGAATGGAGTGACACTGCAGGTGACTGTGTGTGTGTGTGTGTGTGTGTGTGTGTGTGTGTGTGACAAACACATCATCTCAACATACATATAAACACACACACATGAGCAGCAAAGGCTGAGAGGTTTTGTGTTGTTTGACGCTGACACACACTCACACACGTGTGCCGTAACTTTGCCGTAAGCGTTTGTTTGTCGTGTTAGTGCTCGACTCTGCAGTCGTGTGCTATTAATAGAGCGTTTGTCTGTTGAGTTCTGCTGTTTCGTGTGTTCAGTGTAGAGACGAGCAAAACCACATCATTACAAAACCAACTAGTTGGTCTTAAGAATAACCGTATAATTAGCTTGTCACCGATAAGATATGTCGATTTTTATTTTATTCAATTTTATTTTATTTAAAAATATTTTAAGATATTTTTTTATATTAAAATATTTTATTAAATATTTTAACATTTTTGTTTTATATGCTACAATATCTGCTACAATAATGCTAATGATATATATAGGCCTATATATATATATGTGTGTGTGTGTGTGTGTGTGTGTAAATATATAATTATCTAATAATGCTTATATAATATGTATAATATGCTTATGTGATGCTTATATACATGTTATATATGCTAATAAATTATAAATATTAATACAGAAACGTTATGTTTTTGTTTAGGGTGATTGTTAAGGGGTTGCTGAGATGCTCTGGGATTCTGGGATGTTGCTAGGGGGTTGCTAAGATGTGGGTGGTTGCTAGGGGGTTGCTGAGTTTTTTTGGATGTTGTTTTTTTTCTTGTTTTAATCATCATTAATCAAAATGTAATGAGGGTTCATACTTTTTGTGGATCGGGTAATAAAAATAGCTTCAAGGTATATTCTCAAAAAACACATTTTAGCGTCTTCTTCAGTTTAATCTTTTTTTAAGAACGTTGCAAAGTAATTTTTTCTGTAAAACAAAGCAAAAGCAGTGATTGGGCCAGTGATGTTTGCGGTGTGACAGAGAACAGAGGGAGGAAGGAGAAATGTTTGTGGAGGTTTCTGCTCCAGCGCTCTTCAGCTCATTCCTCTCGCTCTGTTTGGAGACGCTCGTTTTTGCGCTCGATTGCTAATTCATCTGATGTCATCTCCTCGTTTCGCACACCTTATCTCGCATTACTTTGTTTTTTGTGTTCTTCTTCCCATTGCTGAGCTTGGGTCTGCGCTCTTCTCTCATGCACATGCTCACTCCCTCCTTTCCTCTCCCATTATCTTCAACAGAGCATGTCTGCTAGTGCGGGAACGAGCGTGTCTCCCTCTCTCTCTCTCTCTCTCTCTCTCTGACAGAAGTAGGATTCTAGTAGAGCTTCTGCTCTTGGCGTGCACTAATGCGAAGTGACTGCTGTGGGCATCTGCGTGCACGGCAGCTCTTCATCCCTGCGTTTGTGGAATAACTCGACCAGGAACGCAGCAAAGCAAAACTCGGTGGGGATATGGGTTGATGTTTGCGAGCGCTTGGTTTGGCGCGGTGGGTTCTAGAGGTGCTCTCTCGGCGCCCGTGGTGTTCGGCGGGCGTAACGCAGCGGCCCGATGCGGGGATCATGGTCGTAGCGCTGGCGCTCAAGCTGTTGACCGAGCTGCTCCAGTGCTCCGCTCTCATGCCGCTCTGTGACGCTGGCAACACGCCCCGCCGGACCGCTCAGGGGCCCGAGGTGAGCTCACACCTGTGTTTCTTTGTGAACTGATGCTGATGCGAGGAAACAACTCAAGTTAGAGAAGGAGAGTCTTTGACTACATTTTTGTGTGATATTTTAGTAAACGTCTCTTGCATGTTGCAGTGTTTTGTTGTTTTTAGGTGTTTTTAGATTGTCAGTTTAAATTCTTATGTATTTATTTAATTTTTTTTATTTGAAAACCACAGTAATCTCACATGGAGAGTTTCAGAAGAGATCTCAAAAGTGTCTCACTGTTCTCAGATTTGACAAGACTGCAATCAAAACATCTTTCAACAAACATTTCTCATCAAATGATCTGAGCTGCTACTCTAAAAAAATATATTTTTTCACTCAGAAATTGCTTGTAAATTTCACAATTAATTACAAAGAAATAGCAAGTAACATGAAAACTGGGAGTATAAAGACTGAAATTGTATTTTCTCGTAAAATACTCCAATAATCTTTTATTTACCATTTAAAAAGCAAAAAACAGTGTATCCATGTTCATAAACTCTTTACTCTTGGATGGGTCTGTTGTACAGATTTTTAAGGAATTTATTAAGATGCATCTGAGACAAAGTTGATTGTTAAATGAACACGACTGAAAGCTCAACTGAATCTCCTGAAAGAGCGACATTTACCTGAAAGCCATTTACTGAAACACCAAAACATCTAGAAATGCAAATGGAAGCCAACACAATCAGAGCAAATCAGCGCAAGACGACACAAACAAACTGACCATTTAACTCTGTACTCTGTTCATTATATTCAGAATTAAAGACCACAGCTGTCATGGACACTATATTTACGCCTTGATTTTATCATCTGATCTGGGTTGAGTTTGATTAATGTGAGTGTTACAGTAGAGATGAGGGTTCATGAACACACGCTGATCTCAGGACAGCTGCTGAGACTTTAAATACCTGCGTTTGAATCCTCTTAGTGAAATATGGAGATTGTAGGAGCTGAAAGAAGCTCTGAACCGCCGGAGAACTGACTTAATTCTTGATGGCACTTTGACTGAATCAGGGAAAAGCCCTGGATGAGATGAGCTGAGGGAGAGAGGATTGTGGGATTGAACTGAAGATGGTGCATTTGTCCTCTCAGTTCAGTTTACAGCAGTGACTTCTCACTGTTTGTGTCACTCTTGTGTGTTAGTGCTCGGGGTTTTTCATGGACTCTTTCTGCAGTTACATAGTTGCACCAGTAGGTGGCGCGAAATGACCGTCTGTATGAGTGAGTCATTGAATCATTTGCTGAACCGATTCATTCAACAACACGGATTCATTCAGCAAAGCAACAAGCGACTGTTTTTATAAGTGAGTCATTGAATTGATCACTCAACCGATTTGTTCAAAAACACTGATTCATTTAGGAACAAAACAAAGGACTGCATTTATGAGTGTGTCACTAAATTATTCACAATTTGTTGTTTCTTTATATATTATTTATATTATGATAAATAATATATTATAAATATTAATTCACCCAAAAAGGTAGTGTTTTCCCAGATGACTTTCTTTGATGGCTTTTTTTCTGACTTTGTAGTTCACTTGACTGCAGTGCTGTATTGTAAGTGTTCTGAAGTCACATGATGCTTTGTGTGAGGAACAGCCTCATATTTTAGTCATTATTCATGCTAATCCTTTGAGCTAAATCTTTGAAGGCTGAGGCTGTATTTATTCTGTTTTAAATCTGTTTTAATTCATTGCCATTCTTCAAATCAGATGAACAGATTGGAGACGCTCTTGGTGCACATCATTCAGATGTGTTTGACAATGTGTTTGTCTTTAACTATCTGTCATGATCCGTTTGTCTGTTTGGGATTGAGATTGTACAGAAGTCCATGCCAGATATTCCAGTCACATCTATTTACAGTTATTAGAAAAAAAGAGATGCCATCACATCTGTAGCAGTGTGTTTTTTAATGGAAGCTGTGTCATTTTGATGAGAAAATATTAGTTATTTTCTTGTATCTGCTGTGATATGGATATCAATTTATCATTTATAAAAATTGATATATATGTATACATCATGTCCAAACTGTTTGTAGTGAATATATGTGAGCAGACAAAAGTTTCTGCATAATATAATGGGCCTGTCATTTTTTGTCCATTACCAGAAAAATTACAGTTTTTATTTCAAAGTCACAGGTGGTTCGCTAGCCAAAATGATCGGGCTCTTTCATGTCTTGATGTTTTTGACAGTCAGAATCCCACTGGAATGTCTTTGATGTCTGCTGTAGAGAATCTCATATCAGGCTCAATAATTAACGCTGATGAGGGTCAGTTCTGACGCAGGTTCAGTGCGGATCGGAGCGGTGCGGTCCATGTGACGGTGTGAGCACGTGTCAGGCGTGTACAGGGTTAAGAATGGCCGCTTGCATCACAGGTGATTGCTTCAGTCCCTAGAGAGCCTGAAGCTCACACACACACACACACACACACACATCTCCTCCAGGCGACTAGGCTGCACCCAGACCGAAGAGCTACAGATACAGCCCACACAGCCCAAATAAAAAGGCTAAATTAGGGCTCTTAAGGGTGGCTGAAGCCCTGAATCACGCTCATGTGGGCTAGAAGAGATCTGAATGCTCATAATAACAGATGTGTGTCAGTCTGGACTTCACTGGCCACACTCAACTTCAGTCTCTTCTGTGTTCTGAGAATCCATTTCAGAATGAGATTATAGGTCTGGTCCAAACCTGAGTGAGCTGCAGTGCGGTCTGCTGTCTACATAGGCAGCTCCCTTCTAAGGCAGCATCCCAGCTAAAATGGAAGTGACAGATTTGTGACACGTTACATAGGCGTCAACTGAATTGTATTTATTTAATTCATTAATTTATTAATTCATTCATTAATTTAGTATGGAATGGAATACAAGAATATTTATTCAGTCAGTTATTTATAAAGGACATTTTAAAACAACAGCTGTTGACCAAAATGTTGCACAATGTAAAACGTAAAAACACAACAAAATGCACACTTTAGACTAAATTATTTATCAGATTAATAGTAAGAAAAAAAGGAAAATTGGCTCAAGTAGTGTAAAAAAAATAATTGCAAACTGCAGGGGGTTTGTGAGTTGATGAAAAGCTAATACTTAATTAAATCCTAAAAAGTGTAAAAAATGAATGAATGTCAAGTAAATGTAAAAAAAAAATTCTAAATGTAATATATATGTATGTATGCATATATATATATATATGTGTGTGTGTGTGTGTAAATAAAATATAAATATAATATATAAATAAATAAACAATTTATTTATTTGTAAAATCATCAATTGTAAAAACATAAAAAAGGCTAAAAGAAGAAGAAAAAAAGAACCGTGTACATGCAGATGTGTTGTTAAATTATTTAAATATTTTTTTTAAAACTCCATGGGACTTTATGTAAATATTTTAGATCAAATGGGGCCCCACGTCTCAATTCAATGGCAAGCAATGGAATCCAGAGTATTTTCACCAGCTGTGAAATGTGGCTTTAAAAAAAAAAAAAAAAAACTTGTCTCGTGGATTCTTTGCAACTTTATTATTATCTTTCATTATTAAAGTTTCTCAGCAGCCAGCAGATGGAAAAGCGGCTCCCAAAGCAGATTACAGATGCTGCAGACAGACGTCCCTAAAACGCTCACTCTCACTGTCCCAAATTAAAGCTCTTAAATCCTCAACAGACCTGAGATGGAAACTTGACATCACATGAACAACAGAGAATAGATCATGAGGAGCTTCAGCAGCGGACGCAAGACGTCCTGGAGTCCTGAAGCAACAGTAATGATGAAGATTTGAGAAGAAAGCTGCAGCCGAGAGAGAGAATTAGAGACGGAAAAGATGAACGCATGACTACACATGCTCTCTTTTATTATTTTAAAATGAAATTCATCTGTGATACAAAAGAAAAGCGTTTCAGATGCAGATAGATGATTCAGCTGATATTTCTGTGGTTTGAGTTTCACGCTGGACTCTTTTGCTTTGAATCTGCAGGATTTTATCCGCAGTGCTCTAGGATTGAATTATTTCTCTTGCTATAAACCCAGAGGTCCCGAGATAGTGAGAAACTGAGAGCTTGTTAGGTAGACAGATCCAAAGCTTCTGTCATTGTTTAGAATAGAAATTGAGGCTGTTTAATATTTGATTTGCTGGATGACCGCAGGGCTTTCTCAGGCCTGAATCATTTCACTTCCAGCCCGTGAAATATCTGTTGACTCAAGGTTTCTGCGGGATTTCTTTTAGGTTTGAATTGTGAAATTAAATGCATGAAAGCTGGTTACATTTGGCCCTTCAAATATGAATGGTGTTTTACTATAGTACTCCCACACACTTCTGAAAAATTTAAATAGAGGATGTCAAATGGACAAAACCATATTTAAATGGATATTTGATGATGAAGATGTATTTTATTTATTTTTTTTATTATTTTATTTTTTTAGAAAACAGTATGAGAGTTTGTGTTGTGAGTAGTTAAATGTATGAATCAGGGTTATAATAGTTAACCAAACTGTAGACGTAAAAAAAAAAAAATTACTTTTTTTTTTTTTTTTTACTAAAATTAAAAAGACAGAAAATATATATTAAAAATATTCAAAATGAATAAAAAATATAATAAATAAAAATTAGATATAGCAAATATATGTATAATAATTAGATATAATAATTATATAATATAAATATAATATACATATTTGTTGTATTTATTGATTTACACTTATTAAAGTGTAAATAATCAATTTCAGTTCATTTGAACAATTTACATAATATTATATTTTACAGACTTAGAAAATCTTGTTTTTGTTGACATGAACTCATTCTGCTCATGCTCATGAATGAGTCTCATTGATAAAAGAAGGATCGATTTATGTTGTCTTTCAAATCATCATTCATCTACTGAAGAATCATTCAAATGATTTGTTTGTGAATCAAATAATGTGTTCTGACTCCTTCGGTCCAGTTTTGAACATCTTCATGGGTCTTTGCCAAATCAATCAGAACATGTGAA